TATGCATTAAACATGCTATATATATATATATATATATATATATATAATAATTAGCCTAATTATTATAATTAGCCTACTGACCCCAAACTTTTGAATGGTAGTGTACAAAAGTTTTCTATCTTGAATAAATGCTGTTCTTTTTAACTTTTTATTCATCAAAGAATCCTGAAAAAATTATCACACATTCCAAAAAATATTAAGCAGCAATATTGATATTCGAATAATATTGCTTGTTCTTGTTATAATAGAAAGAGGAGAGACCCTATACGACTAAATGTCTGCTGTTAACACATTTAAAAGTCAGTACGCATTTGTCCAGGTTCTTTTGCTGCATCCCAACCTTTTACTTTACTGTCTGTCTGAGTTTTTCCTCACATGTTTACTCCGAAGCAGCGTTCTAGTCAAGCTGCACGCCACGGGCTTCTTTTTGTCTAACGGGTCTCGCTGACAGTGCCATCACCGCGATTGGTCAACTGCCACGTCAATCAAAACACCCAGCACGCGATTGGTATAAATGAGTCACTCCGCTCCGCCTTCACTCCGCGTTCGGAACACTTCCGCTAAACCACCATGCCCTGCGGAAGTTGAATTGTTACAGTCGGACACTGTGGAAACACTGGAGTGGTCGCGCGAAGGTGGCGATTTAAGAGTCGTAAACACACTGTAGGCGCCTAGGACTGGGCGGAGAGAGGGTTTAAATAGTTCATAATCACCACAGACCCACGGAAACAGTGAGGGAAGGGTTTCAAACAGCGCCTTAAAGAAGAGACTTCTTTAAAAAAACATTACAAATCTTACTGATCCCAAACTTTTGAACGGCAGTGTATATATATAAAATAATATCTACTACTAATAAAGTAATCTTCCACAGCATATCTGTATTTAGAATGTATTATATGCTACACTTTATAGCCTATATAATGTCTTTTAGCTTTCTATATAATGGCTTTTTGAAACACTGTAGTGGTCGCGCGAAGGTGGCGAATTAAGAGTCGTAAACACACTGTAGGCGCCTAGGACTGGGCGGAGAGAGGGTTAACTAGTTCATAAGCCCCTCAGACCCACGGAAACAGTGAGAGAAGGGTTTCAAACAGCGCCCTAAACCCCCGTCAGGTCCCGTGTGTGTGGGCGCAGCGAGGCGGGAGGAGATGGAGCCCTCGCCGGCTAAGGGTAAAGCGCAGGGTCGCCTTCTGGTGTCCACCAGCCTGGACGCCAAAGATGAGCTGGAGGAGGTAGGGCTCGCCTCATTCCCATCGGCCGTCAACATACGTGTCAGTGCGTCCTTCACAGCACACATTAGCGAAGAAAAACATGGTGAAAACTAAGTACAATAACAAAAGGGCAAGCAGAATGGAGAAGTTGCAGGGATGGCTTTTGTAGTCTTTTGTTATTATTTGTCTTTATATATATAGAGACTTTATTATATATAGGCTTATTTGTTGATTCAAATATAAATGAAGGAGTTGTGGCAACGGTGTAAACATGATGTGTGCTGAACATACAATGATATCATGTCATACATGTACTGAATGACAGCTGATGGTGTCAGTGAGTCTCTTTCTGCTGGGGAAGGTATTAAAAATCGATGCAGTCATGCCTTTAATTGAGATTAGACTATTTATGCATGAACTATTATTGGGATCTGCAGTGTTATTTTGTTTTTGGTGTTTTTGGCATGCATTCATATTGCTCTGTAATGTACTCACCAGTTTGTGTGTGTGTGTGTGTGTGTGTGTGTGTGTTTCAGCGCCTGGAGAGGTGTGTGAGCATCACTACATCTATAACCAATGGACTGTCAGAGCGAGAAGCCAATGATGCTATCACTGCTCATGTGAGTTTATCAGTTACACCCACTTATAATAACACATCAGGATTCACACAGCATAAAAACCTGGACATAGAATGGCATTTTAAAGCTGTGATTTTCAGGCCTGGAAAAATAATAGAATTTAGGAAAAGGCTAAAATGAATTAACTTTTTTCTAGTTGTTTACTCGCCTGTATGATGTTCTTTTTGAGTGCTCGTGTAAACAACACCATGTCTACATAACTTTAAGCTGTCTGTTGACCATGATTGGTGACATTTGTATAGTAAATATGGTAATTTATATTTAGCACTTGACATAGAAATAGACACCTGCTCCACTAATCTCTATAAATGAAATTTAAAAAGAAAATAATTTAAGTCATTTTTTCCCCCCACCAGTTATCAGTCAGCTGTAAATGAAGAAAATTTCACTGTCTGTTTTCTATTTGAATATATTTTAAAATTTAATTTATTCCTGTGATGCAAAGCAGAATTTTCAGCATCATTACTCCAGTCTTCAGTGTCACATGATCCTTCAGAAATCATTATAATGTGCTGATTTGTTGCTCAAGAAACATTTTTTTTATCAGAAAGAAGAACAGCATGACGTTTAGCCAAGGTCTGCTGGTTAATGCATATTGAGCCGTGTTGCTCCCGTGAGATACATGGGATCGAAATTTTCCTGCAACTTGTAATTTCCTGTTCCGACTCCGCTTTCTTCTCTTCAACATTTCATTCATGACTGACTTGAAATTTGAGATCAATAAAAGTGGCTA